AACCTTTGCCAGCTAACCCATTCAAAAGAAGTTGAATAGTAATAGGGTGGAACAAAAAACAAACCAACTCAAATCCGCAAAACGCGACCTAGCTGTGCGCATATACTCGGGCTTCACAGAACCTGGGAGCTGGTATGAACGTGTCCACATGAAACCCAAGCAACGCACATGCGCGGTGAGAATCTTTTCGCCCGAGAAACAGGAGATAACTTCTCTTTGCTTCCCCTGACAAACACATTTCTAGGTCCAATTTAGTTTTTTCAAGGTGTCTCCGAAGTCTTGCCTTCAGCGGTCCGAAGAGCTGGTCAAAGCTTTTCTTGGTAACAGTCTGCGCGCAGCTCGTCCAGTTCACTGGCAAACCTGAGCCAGTGATGAGGGGAACGGGTCAATATCACACATGGGCCCCAATCATGGCAAAGAACCAGCAAACCACTCTGCAAGTTGAGGTGGAACGAAGCGTTTCTTCATTCGCTCAGCTGGGGTGATTCCAGCAGCCCTGCATGCTACCTTGAACTTGTCCCAGTAGAACACCTGTGTCCCTAGGTCCTGCGATGAAAATGAATGGTTCCTCAAACTGGGTTGGATAAAAGTAGTGGCGGAGTCCTGTCGGCCTCTGAGAGACAGATACCCCACGTTTGCTCGCGTGGTGGCGCCGAAACAGCCTCAACTTCAAAAGCACATGCCATCGATCACCCGGTCCTCAAAATTTCATACACAAATTTAGACAAGAAGCGGACGGTACCCCACGTTCGCATAGTGGTTGGTTTGGATATGAGCTTCTTCGTCTTCAACTGCACACGTTTGCCAACATTCTTGGGAACCTGGGCTGAAAGCTTAAAACATTGACTCTATTCTCTATTTTCGAAGCTTCTGACCGATAAGTTCAAGTCAAAAGTATTTACATTGAAGGCACCAATCGGATCTTCACAGGGCAACACTTAGGCAGCACAAACGGCTTGAAGGGTCGGAGATCCCCCTTCCGGCTCAGCGATCCAAATTTGGGGAATCTGGACGGTCGAGCCCGAGCCTCAAAGAAAGGATCAATTGTCAGCAAGAATCCTTCAAACCAGGAAACAAACCATTCAGGTTGAAACTGTGGGGTTGTGGCCTTCGGAACCACTTCCTTTCGTCTTTTGACGACCTTCTTCTGAACCGGCTTCTTCTGGATTGGCATCGCATCGTCACTGAGCGGGCAAAAGGTGCATCAAGCCCTGCAAAATAGAACTCTCACTGAAGGAAGGCTTAGAAACGGACTCACTCAAAGCCTCCACGTTTTGCAACGCCATGAACCGCCAGAAACAAAGTGGGCGGTGTCAAAAAGGGCTGCGTTTTGCAGAACGCTGTCCAAAACACACAATTCAAAACGCACAGCCAATGCATCCCTACTGCTGCAGTGAAATCTCAAACTTACACAAAACAACCAATACATCGATCCCTACTGCAATCAATGCATCCCTACTGCAGTTAAAATCCAAAGCGCAAAAAAACTCTGCAGGTCAAAAGTCAAAAGCGCTCGAATTTTTATCAATTATGCGAGATACGCCTACTTTATCCGAGGGGTGCTACTTGACAGAACGCTTGGACGCAGAGGGGCGCTTCATGGTTGGCTTTGCAACTTTCTTGGGCGCAGGTTGGAGATTTACCCACGCGACGGCACCCTGATTGTGTACATACGGTCTCGGCTCAGGATATGGCTCAGGTCGCTCGAGGATCCACGCGAAAACGGTCTTGTACTTTACGAGGGCGAGGGCATCGTTGTCGATCTTGTGGTGCGCATAGTTCAATCCAATGAAATTGTTGGGGTCACCGTGCTCGTGCTCCACAAACGCTCCTCGCTCGGAATCCCGCTTTGCAATCGGGATACAACCAACGATACTCACTTCACCCACCAACTGCTTCGTACCACTCACCGCGAGGCAAATGCGTCCACGTTGAGATGTCTTGCATCCGCGTACCTCCCATGTTTTCTCCCCTGCCAAGATCAAGGAAGCCCACTTCTGGTGCATTACCAGCGCTCGCGTTGGTGCCATGATGCGTACTACACGTTCCGCGTGAGCTTGAATTGCTGTAGTTGGGCCAGGACGCGCGAAACAGTTACTCATGCGAACGACTCGACATGCTAAAAACTGCCCAGAGCTCCTAGACCAAAAAGTTAACAACCAGGACCCAAAATATTAAATTTGTCAACTTGGAAGTTTTCACCTGGCTGTCGGTGAAACTTCTTTTCTGCTTCAGGCAGCTGTATGTGAGTGTTAGGTGCTTCGAGACTTCTTTGCCTGCTTCAGGGCAGCTGTATGTGAGTGTTAGTTGTTTCGAGAGTTTTGCCAGCAAAAGAAAGATAGATTTTTAAATGAATAATAGTAGATAGATAGATAATAGACAGATAGTTAATAGGTAGAAAGATAGATATACATTTTATACAATATGTTATATATACACCTACATATATAATATATTATCTCCTCCCTTATCGCAGGGTGTGTGGTGAAACGTGCTCCAACCATGGGGCGGTTGGCTATGTACAAAACTTGCAGCAGTATCATTTCCCAGCTGTCATTCAATTCTGAGTTAGTTGAGTTAATCAACTTTGATGATGGCTGGCGAGTGGTAGTGGAGCACTGACTGCCAAATGGCAGCAATGTACCAGAAAGCACCCCCACAAAACAGGACACCCAGATACAAACTGGACACCCGGAAGTAAAGGCAGTGAATTCCATCCACAAAGCTCACGATGCCTTCCAGGGCTGTCTTCTTGGAATACTCCTTATCATGCATCATCAAAATACTGGCCAGCCTCCATCGACTGATACGCACCAACTCCCTTCCATCTCCTCGAGGCAACTTTGCCTTACACTTCGACCGGTCTCCACTGCACAGGTGGTATAGACCTTTGCCATCCTTCAAGTACTGCTGGCCATACCATTCGTAGTATCCATCACTTGCAATCAGATAGTCTCCAACCAGAAACCCTCTACCAGCATCACTCCAATCTTCAACTCGTAAACAGGCCTTGCCTTGGGCTCGTCCATTCCAATCATCGCATTCGTACTCCATCACACAACCCTTGCCCAGGACTGATTCCATCATGGTCTTTTCCATCGACCCAAGTCAGTCATATGGTGGGGCAGAAGGCCACTCTGCAACAGATCATTCCAGTCTTCCAACATACCTCCCTTTTTGAAAAAACTCAACTTTTGATTTTCCATCTTCTCCTTCTTTTCTCTCTTTCTTTCTCTCCCTCTGTCTCAGGTCCTCCAGGCTCCTGGTGCTGAGGGCAAGTGATGGTCCACCAACAACAGGTTCTCAACTACCTGACCTCTTCCCACCTTCCCCACAAGGAGGTCTGGTGGGAGAGGCCAGGCAGCTCTGACTTTGAAAAACTCGGTGGAACCACAAATCAGGCATGCTATCCCCTTGCAAGAACACATATTATACAGTATTATGTGTTCTGTACACAACTCTGATGCCACGACGAAAAGGCACTCCCCAACGGCCTTCTTTCTTTTAGCATTGGCTGCTGACATCTGGTGGCATCTCACGACGTTGCACTCATTAATTGTGTGGTGCTCCCCTGCAAAGGTTTGCTGCTTCAGCTATGCTGCTTCAGCCAAAGTGGCACTGCTTCCAATCTCTACTGAAGCCTTAAATGTAATCTGATTTCGATTATCAAGGCAACCGCGCCACCAACCGGGCATGCAACGGCCCTTGATGACATTCTAATGTTTATGACGTGTGACAGTGGCAGCATCATTCATGACAAGCATACTGGAGTGTCCAGCGGTTGTGCGAACATACACGATTCGTCAAAACTCATAGCTTATGCAGGTGCAACACCTGGAAAATGTTTGGGTGAAACAACGCTCTACAATAAACAAAAAACCTGCAGGAATGATTGGCTGTCCTTGTATAACAAGCGCTTGTTGGCTCAAGTACTACCAGGATCGCTTGGCCACGCACTGTGCACATTCAAAGTTGCCAACCATTCTTGAAAAAACTCAGCTGCCATTAATTGCTCAGAGTATGTACAGGCGGCTCACCTTGGCCCAGAAGTAAAACCGACTCTTCTCAAGATGGAAAGGCCTTCGATCACATCGCAGTAAGTAAGTAAGTAAGTAAGTAAGTGGGACAATCCTAAATTTTAAAATCTCTGCAACCATGGTTGGGAAAGGTAGAAGGACTCCAAAGAGCAAATGCAAACAGCAGATTTGCTGGTAAATTTCCAGAAACAATATGCAAAGTCATCACGCAAAAAAGTGAAGAATCACGCACTTGACAAAGCGCCCAGGCCAAGCTGTCTGATCTGTGGCCTCCCCTGATGCTGGCAAGAAAGCCTCAGAAGATGAGAAAGGTAAGTTGATGTGATTACCTGACATAGACAATCAACCTAATAGGGATGGCCTCCAACCTAAGAGCAATGGCCTCCATATAATAGCAATGGCCTCCAACCCAATAGCGATGGCCTCCAACGTACTAGCAGCAGTGGCCTCCAAACTAATACAGTAACACTCCGGTTGGATGTGGAGATGACGAGTTTCATATCTGGCGGAGTGTTGACACTTCCGAGTTTAAGGCTGAAGCCTCTGGCATCGCGAAGCAGTTCCCGCCATGCTTTGGCCTGTCGTCCTTCTCAGAAGCGAAATAGAAATCCCAAGGCCAAAGGCAGGTCGAATTCCACATCCAAAGGGGCACTTGCAAAGCAAAGCACAAGAGTGCACTGCAAAGCATCTTTGCCCACTTCAGATTGTCCCAAAGGCACTAGTTTTGTTTGTTGGTTAATACAACAGTGACAATGCTTTTGACAAGAAAAGGGATCAAACTGAAAGGCAAAAAGGCCATTGAATGGTCATCTCTCTAACATTCTTTAAACACAGCGACTGAAGTGCCAGTTGGTGTGCTGAGCATTAAAGAAGTTGCACAGTTGCACCGCAAGTCTTCCTACAACAACTAAGACTAAGAGGCCTCCCATTGCAAATTCTGTAAAAGCTGAAGTATAAAGTAGTTGCTCAACGATATTTGCAATGCAGGGCGAACTCAAAATCCTGCGCTCGAAATCAATTGTTGAACCGCTGCAGAACCCCTGAAGATTCCAGCTGCAGAGCGCTTGTGAATCCCAAGGATTGGAGCGCGGCGAGCAAGGAGTCAGATTGCAAACTATACATCGTCCCATCGTACGGGATGCTGGCGCCTTGCTTACAACACATGCATCAGGCACGCCCGCTTCCAAGGACCAGTGACATAGGTCCTACCTCGCGGGCAGCTGTACCAGCCTGTCAAACAAGTGCCGAAGCCAAGATAGACTCAGATAGACCAAGAGGCAAAAGAGTCTCACGAGAAAAAGGGACCACGTTTTTCACGTCTGCCTTGTCACAGGCTTTCAGCAAGGCAGTTCGCAGATTTGCAGTTGCCTGGACATCACGGGCCCTTTTCTTTCCGTATGCTGCATATGCATCAAATACTAGTTTCTCCCGTCAGTTTCTAAAATGTGGATGCGCTGCCTCATAGAAAAGCCTCTCATCATCTCTTTGGAAGCATTCTGGATCCGATTCCAGCCGGTTTTGCAGCCTGCAATCAGTGCAAACCGACTTCCAATCACGTGGTGCATCCTGTGGCGGCCTCCTCAATTTTCCTGGATGACACCATGACAAACCAAAATTCAATAATTGTATGATACAGTGTGTATCCCTAAATCCGGGATGGAGCTCAAACATCCACTGGGAGACTCCGGATAAGACTTTAGACTCTTCTCTTCATAGCAAGAAGCTACTAGTAGCTCCTGGCATTACTACTAGGAACAAGAAGCTATTAGTAACAAGGGCATTACTACTAGTAACAAGGGCATTGCTAGTGGTAGCAAGAAGCTTCTCCATTGTCCTTTCTGACAAACCCCCTTGGAAGCTTCCAAATACAGGTGAGGATATGGATCCATGCGGGTGCAGCAGAACCATGAAAGGCTGAAAGGCTCTACCGGAGCAATTAGAACGAATAAGGTCGGATAAAGGTAGCATTCCAACGGATGGGACCCATGAGAACCAAGGTGGGTTCACAACAATCCACGGGCATTCTGCGGCACATTAGTTCATTGAGATAAGCACATTGTGAAAGGATTTGGGTTTGACCGTGGAGATGATGATGAAAATTAATATCATCATGATGGAAGGCTTGATAGTTGTTTCTTGTTGCTGTGAGAAGATATTCTGAGCAAAGAAGCGCGCTTGCATAAAGAGGTTGAGTGGGCAAATGTCAAAATGATGCTCAAATAAGCAAACATAGAAAACCAGGACACCTGAAAACAAAAACACACAAACACAATGGGCACAATGGGCTGCATAGTCTGAGATGTGGGTGTCAGTATCAGAATTTGGATGGTCAATGGCATTCACTGGTTCAACACATCACATAAACCTGCATCCAAACTCCTTCAGTATTGAAGCAAGAAAGGAGCAAATCAACATGTAAAAAAACATTAGTCTTTGTGCACCTCCCCAGATGTCAAATGATTCAAAGGTGCTGGTATTTTGCTTGGGATGACAGGACTGACATGTCCTTCTCGTTGCCTGGGCCATCTAGGAAGGCTCTCCTGTATCCTAAAACGTTGTACCTCTGGTACTACCCTCCTCAACACTACACCGGTCAAAATATTAAGCATCTCACATTCGGTGCACCTTTTGCCAAAGTCTGTTTAGGGTTTGTTTCAGGTTCATTGTTTGCAGTGGTGGGCAGGGCTTGTTTTTGCCTGGATATCAAGAGGTTCAAGGAAGTCAGGCATGGGTCTTTTTGGGGAAATCAATTGTGTGGTCGCGGTAGCGCTGGCAAATTTTCAGGGAAACATCTTGCGGAAATTAAAGTTTTTGGGTGGGCACCATCAGCCAAATGTGTTTGGAGAGGTTGAGGGCAGTGAGACACACCAATTATGCACAATGAGACTCGTTGCCGTCTGCAATGTTTTTGGGCGGCAACTTCTGGAAAAGTGATTGGAGAGGTTAGGGTATTACAGTGAACTACCTGGCCCGATCAAAACGTGCACTCGAAATGGCTGCGTCACACCGGCTGGGAGGCCAATTAAGGCCTAGATAAGCCTTAGTGTATGTTCCTGTTTTTGTTCTATGAAATCTACGCCAACCTCAAAAGCCACACAAGGTCCATGCCTACCCGAGCAAAAAATCAAGAGTACGCAAAGCGGTTCAAGTGAGGGTTGGCCAGTCCAAAGTAAAAAGACTTTATGCTAAGACCTAATTAAGCACGGCTGATGGCTGAGCCAACTTGAGCAACCTTGCTAGAAGTTGCAGCTAGAAGCACCTGCCTGATTTTTTGGGATGGGATCATTGTTGGAAACTTGTAGGTTTCTGTACAAAGCTTTGTTTGCGCATATACGGGTTGTTCAGGCGAGTGAAGCCTGTATTCAAGAGCAAAGGTGCACAGCGTGTGTGTGTGTGTGTGCCCTCCTCTGTTTCTAAGAGATTGTTTCTGTTTTCACCGAACTTGCAGGGGGATGGAGAGGGCATGTGCGGCTCCATCCAACGAAGCTCCTCACATGATCCTGGGATATCGGCAAGAACGCTTGCCGACGTACCTGCAATCAACTGTTGCTCACGCTGTTCCACACTCGGTTTGTTTCATGGTGGTTTTTGCATGCTACTCCCACCAAACAGGTTTCCCACAGCTGCTTTCAGCCGCCGTCGTTCAGCCGCGTTTCTGCAGACAAGTGAACAATGTTTTCAACATTTCAGTTGCGCTGACCTTTTCACCTTGCGTTTCCCTCATCCCTTTCTGCGTGGAACAGAGGTAACTGCAAACCCATTATCTAAGTGTGCGCCGCTCTGTCGTCCCACTGGGTGCAGAGTGTGATCCCCGTCACTGGGGCACTGAGACCGTTCCGGACCGCCGTGTAACTGATTCAGCGTTTCCTTCACACTTTGGATTATCTTTTCTAATTTTCGTCTCACACACTGAATTTCCTGCATTGAAACTGCCGAGTATACGGTACTACTTCACCGCCGGGTATACGGATTTGCTCTCCGTGAGAATGAGTTTTCAGGATCAAGATTTGGCCTTACCACTTTCTCCACGATACCGGTTTCAATTCGATGCTTTTCAACATGCAGATTTCCACGCCTTGACCGCATTGCATTCACCCTAGCTTTGTTTGCATGTCTTGCAGCTGCTTTCCTGCGCCGCACAATGGAACTTTCAGCTGCAGACAACAGCATCTTTTGAACATCACGCAATTTCCCTGCCCCTATCCTTATGTATCACAACCTCCACCAAGCCATCCACCTACAACAATGCCCATTGCACATCCGCTGCCTCCACAACCATTACCTCCACAACCTACACATTACCATCCGACTCCCATGACGCAGTAACCTACGTGCCCTTCACCTCCCACCTTAACAACTCAGCCAGCCCCATTCCATCAAGCTATCCCGCAACCAACACTTACCAGTCGCATACAGCCATCCTACAGCATTCAACAACCGGCTACCTCTCCTTCACACCCCACATTCACCACCAACACTCTCAGCTCCAGCGCCTGCCGCCGCCCAACAGCCTGCCACTCTCACTTGGGATCCACAGCACGGCGTTTGGCAACCACAACCGCATCCTTTCTCTGCGTTTCCACCCGTCACCCCACCCCAGCTTCCAGCCACCCACAAACAAACCGCCAAAGATTCTTCTATACAAACCTCCAAAGACTCCTTAGCCCAAGCATCACCAGGCTCTACTCAGTCAGCTCCGAACCAACCGGCTCAGCCCTCTACACAGACCACCTCCGCCAACACCGAAGATTTTATATAATCCCACTCAGACCACATCTCCACCACAGCCGCCGGCTCCACGCGCCGGCTCAGCCCACGCGACAAAACAGGAGGCACCTTCGGCGCCTGAGCAGCCTCGCCGACGACGTCGCCGACATCGACATCACGAGCGCCGTCGCCACCATCGACACCACCAGAGGCCGCTCGGATCACCACCATCAACCCGGCTATCGCCACCACAAACACACCAGCTCAGCCTCCCGCCGAGATCCTTCCACCTCCTAACTCTTATCCCTCGCGGAGTCGCTCTCGCCAGCCGTCAACCTGTCTCTATGACCCAACACAGAGCTTGCAAGCCGGCCACCAACGAAACTTACCCCAATCACCCAAGCATTCGCCGGGTCCTCAACGCCTGGAAGGAACCACCCAACTTTACCACCAAGCCTCCACAAGACCAGCTCCAAATCTGGATGGATTACCACGCAGATTCGGCGCACCCAACAAACCCCAACATGCATATGTTGCTCGCCCGCTACTTGACAGCGGCCTCACCTATGCTGATGTTTGTGACTACAAACAATTTACCCACATCAACTGGAACAAAGATTCCAACCGATATGACCCTTTTCATTTCAACCACATTGCCTCCAAAGCTCACCGACGTTTTCCACCTCAGCCCACCAGAGCCACCAACACTTCACCAGACATTGTCCACATCAACGCCGGCCACACTGGACCGGTTGGCAACATTAGCAGCATTCCACAACAGGGCAGATTCCTTCCTAGTACCCTTCACTTCGCCCACAACAACGGATTCTTTGCACAAGGCGCGCGGCAATTCCCCCACGATCACGGAGAGAATGATCGCATTATCCTCAACACTTGGAACCTTTCAAAGAACACTCAGAATGACCACGCCGAAGCCCAAGGCTGTGATCCCGACAGACCAGATCCCTTAGATCCCTTGTCAGCATTTTCTTGCGGGCAATCCAATGCCTTACATGGCACCTTCCGTCACCCATCAATCAGAGCTTCTTCTCCTTCAGTGGATGCTACACATGCTAGAATGCGATATCAGCAACATCCTACATCACCCATTGGTCCTCCTTGATCCAATTCCTGGTCAGCGCTATTTTACTGACCACAATTCCTACCGGCTTTTTGTACAATTCCGCAGTTCTCTTCACCGCCTGGCACCTTTGATGCTTGACCTCACCCAAGGTCGCCGTCTCCTACAATACCTACCCGGCTCTCCAAGCTCTCACCTCATCTCATTGTACCCTTCTATTCTGACCAATTTGCTCTGTTTGGCATCCTTGATCAGGGAATTGTCCAAATCAGACAGCATCAGCTTTGCACAGGTCTGGTTGAGGAGGTAGGCTGCCTTGTTCACAAATGGGTAGAAAACCACTGACGCTGATATCTCTCTGCCTGTGTATGTTCCAGGGTCCCAGCTGATGGACAATTGCTTTGCTTCCTGGCCAAATCCCTTTGAAAGGGCATTGCAGCAAATCCTTGTGGCTCTTCCCCACTCTCCTTCTGCGCGCCTTCTCTGCCTTGATCGTTTGCAACATGACCATTCTGTTTACAGGTCCATGGCCCTGCAGTGGTTCCCACATCTGCTTTTCAAAAGGGGTAGCGCCTCAATATCCTTGTTTGCAAGGGTGGTGACCTTGGCTGGCTACTATCGCGTGGACCCCTCAGTCCGTTTGCCACAGACAAGCAACTTCCTCTCTCACCCTCCACCTTCCTTACCGCCGCAGCATCAGGTCATACAGTACCACCATGACCTGACACCACCCACCG